CAGGAGAACGGGGTGGGAGCAGGGGAGGATGGAGAAGAGGAGAAGCAGCCCCTGGGAACACAAACCCTCAAAAACAAGAAAGGCCTTGTGCCTGGTGCCAGCAAAAAGCACCCAAGCAAGGGGGGCAAGGAGAATGGGGTGGCAAAGGCGGAGGGTGGGGACCTCCCCAATGCTGATGGAGGAGATGCTGTGGCTGACAAGAAGAAGAAGAAAAAGAAGAGAAAAAACAGAAAAAGAAAAGGTGCTGCAGGTGATGAAGCTGAGCAGGTTCCAGCTGCAAAGAAAACCAAGGGGAATGTTGTCCAGGAGATCGAGAAGAAGAAAGACAAAGCCAAAAAAAAAAAAAAAGTGAAACAAGCTCCAGTGCTGCAGGAGTAAACTCCATGGACTCAGCCAGGTCTGGCATGGCTAGCATGGCTCAGTAGACTGCTGAAATATCTTTATTATCTATAGTTTTTATACTCTCCATGACTTTTAAATAAACCTTCCATCATGCTGAGCTCTAAAGCTGTGGGTCAGCCTTGTGTGAAGGGTTCAGCCTGGAGCACAGAGAGCTTCAGGAGGTTACCTTCCCTCCAGGCTATGGGCACTCTCTCTTCTCTGGCAGTGCCAGAATTCTCTCTCCATGATTTCCCAAGGCAGAAGCAAGGTTTGGATTCCTTGGGGAGTTGGGGTGGGTGTGCTGGCACTGCTGAGTTGGTGGTCAAGCCCTGTGGGAGATTCAGAAGCCCTAAAGGCCCATTCCTGTCCTGCCCAGGCCCAGCAGTGCTCACAGCTTTTCCAGTGGGGGAGATGCAGCCCCTGAAATGGCTGGGGTTAAATGGGTTTGCACAGGCAAACTCTGGGGTCAGCTATTCCCAGTTTGACCAGCCTGGTATTGTCCATAACCACCATGGTCTGGCTTTTTTTGCCTTTTTGCTGCTGGGTGCTGGAGGGGTCATGGCCCCTGTGGTAGTGCAGGGAATCAATAAATCAGTGAAACAATTGAAATGGTTGATTGATTGGCCACTGTGCCAGGCCTGTGTGCAGCCATGCAAGGCACCTGGCACTGCCAGGCCTGCAGCAGGCTGGGAGTGACTGCCTGGAATTGCATCTGCTGATTGATCCCCAGGCTCCTGAATGCTGGGATGCCACCAACCCTTTGGAGAGTGCCAGGAGCAACTTCTCCCATGCATTGGGTACCTGGGCCTTGTTGAGAGCTGAGGCTCAGAGTGTTTGAAATGCTGCTCAAGCTGTAGTTGCCAGCAAAGCCTCCCCTGCTCCTCCCCACCTGCCCAGCACCCTGCTCCTGGATCCAGAACGTGGGTCTTGGTGCCTGGCCCTGACTCCTCTCCAGCACCTGATGCTTGGACCTGATGGTCCTGAGGGTCTTTTCCAGCCTGAGTGATTTCTGTGGCTCTCTGAAGGCCTCACTGCTCTCCTCCCTGCTGCAGTTTGGTGCTGGCTCCTGGCAGAAGCCGTTGCTGGGAGCAGGGCTGTGCCTGTTGTGCCTTCAGCTCATCCTGCAGGTGGGTCTGCACCACCAGGCAGAGATGGACACTGGAAATGTCATATTGCTTTTGGAGGGGCTGAGAGAGGAGCTGCAAAGGGCTGGGTGTGCCTGGGGCTGTTTATCTGCCTTTGCACTGATTCTCTGTGAAATGGCACAGAGCTCCTGGGGCACAGCAGCACAGATCCCACTGCAGACCCACAGCTGCCCCTTTCCCTGTCCCAGCAGTGATCCCCAGGCTGAGCTGCACATCCAGGGTGTGCTGGCTGCTGTGAGCAGCAGGTGAAGCTGGAGTTTCTGTGCCCAAGTTCAGCAGTGAATCCTCCCTGTGCCTTCCCCACAGCTGCTCCCTCTGCCCTGGGGCAGTCAGGCCTGAGGGGCACTGCCTGGTGCTGCCTTGGAGGGCACAGCCCTCGTGCAGGCTGGATGAGGAGGGGCTGGCAGGCTCTGGGCTCTCCAGGTCAAGATTGGCACAGATTGGGCAGGAGGTGAAGGGCAGCTCTCCCTGTGCCCACCCTGGGTGAGGCTTCCAGCCTCTGAGGGGTTTGCAGGTGGAGATTTGGCTGCAGGTGTCCCCAGGACACTGCAGGAGTTGGCTGATTCCTGCTCTCCATGGTGTCCCCAGGCTTGTCTGGGCAATTCAGGGCTGCACTCACCCTGCTGGACCTTTTCTCCCAAAGCCCTTACTCATGTGGAGGTGGCTGTAGGCTGGAATTGCTGCTGTTGCAGCCTAAAGAAGAGCTGCAAATCTCCATTCCCAGGCAGAGGGTGCTGGCAATCACTGCCAGTCCTGTCTCCAGGAACAAGGGCACCTCTGCTCCCAGTGGGCCTGGGGATTGACCCCATCCCCTGGGGATGCAGCCCTGCCTCTGCCATTTACTGCTGAGAGCTGCTTCATTGCCTCGTTCAAACCTCAATCCCAGCTAAGCCCCTCCAGCTGTCCCCAGCGATGACTTTTCATGTATTATGCAAATGCAGCACACAGCAGGCCAGCAGGTCAGGCTGTCCCTGGTTTAATGATCCACAGGGGCTCCAAAGGGGACAAGGGGCTTCAGATCTGTAATGTCTCACTAATGATTTCCTTCTTTGTGCTTGTTATGTAGGACATGCTGGGATTTTGTGCCTCTGCTGTGTGGAACCAGAGGAGGAACAGCAGGCAGGTGGGAGCAAGAGTGAGCTGGAGCAGAGGGCTCTGTCCAGGGAATCCTCCCTGCCTGCAGAGAGAGCAGCTGTAGCACCCAGAGCCTCCATGCTGAGGCCACAGGGGCTGGCTGAGCTCTCTGGGATTCCTGCCAGGGCCACTGCAGAGAGGAGCTGGTGTGGATCAGTGTCACTGTCACTGTGGGAAGGGCAGAGCACGGGGCCAGAGCTGTGCCAGCTGCTGTCCTGACACAGGGATGGGCACTGGGCAGTGCCAGCTGTTCTGTGTCCGTGGGTGTGCTCAGCCTCCAGGAGTGGCAGAGTGGGCAAGGGGAAAAGGGACAGGAGAGCTGCAGGGCACAGTGCCAGTCATGGTGCCCCCTTTTGCCAATTAAATTACCTGAGTTTGGGCTGGCTTTGCTGCACTGCTTATAGAATGCAGTCACTAATTCAGCAAGTCAAATTGTGCTTCACCAGCACTTATTTGGGCTTTTTAATAATTACAAAGGTTTTGTTTTACTTGATTTCAGGTCCTGTTGCTCGACCATGAGGGCTGAGATGCCTGAGCATGCTCTGATTTAATGAAGCCTTTTCTCCTCAGCTGCCCTGGGCTCAGAGCTCAGAGCTCTGTGGCTCATCTGGGTGCAGAACAGCTCCAGGCCCTGGGCTCTGAGCTCAGGGGAGGGTGCAGTGCTGGAGAATGGCCAAAGGCATGGGATAAACCCAGGGAGTCCTGTGAGGGTGGGCAGGCCCTGGCACAGGTGCCCAGAGCAGCTGTAGCTGCCCCTGCATCCCTGGCAGTGCCCAAGGCCAGGCTGGGCAGGGCTGGGAGCAGCCTGGGATGGTGGAAAGGTTCCCTGCCATGGTAAGGGGGTGGAATTAATTGGTTTGTATGGTCCTTGCAGCCCAAACTATTCCATGATTCTATGATTTCTGATGTAATACCCTGAGAGATTTTGCCAGGCACTCTGGGCAATGGGTGCAGTGTTGGAGTTGCTCAGGAGAGGTTGCCATGCAATCAGCACCTCTCTGTACAATGTGATAAATGTAAAAATGCACCAGGGCACTGCAGCACACAGAACACACAGAGAGGGTCAGGGCAGCACCCTGTGCCAGCCATGGGGCTGCTGTTTGTCACACCAGGGTGGCCCTGAGACAGCTCTGCAGGCACTGAGGGGTTTGGGAGGGTTTGTGAGGCAGGGATGGGGAGTGAGCAAACGTGTGGGGGCACAACAATAACACACACACACACCTAACACACACACACACATAACACACACACACCTAACACACACACCTAACACACACACACACAACACACACACACATAACACACACACACACCTAACACACAACACACACACATAACACAGGCACACACAACACACATATACACACACGTATACACACACACACAACTCACACACGCACATAACACACACACCTAACACGCACACACACACACACAACACACACACACACACACACAACACACACACACACACACATAACACACACATAACACACACACACAACACACATAACACACACACAGACACACACACACACACACGGGTATGGCCCTGATCCAAACCCAGTGTGCACAGCACACTCTTCTTAGCAGTAGTTGATGGATGGAAGCTAAAGCTGCTGAGCTTCAAAGCTTATCTGTCTATCTGCTGGAACATCAGAATTTGGAAAATTATTCTTAATCAAGTCATTTACAAGAATGATTAAGCTGAAAGCCCCGAGAAGCACTGACAAAAGCCATCAGGGATGGGTGTTTTAAGTGACAGAGCCTTTGCTTTTGTGGTCTCCTGGCTTGGACCCTGCCCTATGCTGGAGGAGGACTCTGAGGGAGGCTCTGCTGTGGGAGGCTCTCCCAGCTGGTCAGGGGAGCCTCAGACACCTTTGAGTGTCACAGCAGCCCGAGGCTGAGCTGCTCCCAGTGCAGCAGGACCAGCCCCTTCTCTTTACCCTGTGAGCTCGGTGGGCATGGCTGCTGTGGGATCACTGGGGAAGGGCAGCCTTGACTGTGGGACCACCTGGGCATCATTTCCTGCCTTCCTGAGCGCCCAGCCCATGAGCACCAGCTCATTTCCATCAGTCCATCAGCCAGCTCCTCTGTTGTGCAGTGAGGGGCTGAGTGGGGCTGGAGGGGACCCCACCTCTGCAGGCCCACACTGACCCCTTCCCCCAGCTCTGGGGCATGGGAGGCTGAAATCCACCACCCTCCCTGCTCCTGGTGTTATTTCTCCACAAACCCAGGCAGGCTGGTGTCCAGGGAAGTTCTTGGCAGCCCTGGAGCTTGGAGCATCCTCATCCAGGGACCACAGCCAAGAGGTGACACAAGAAAAGGAGCCAGGGGTTACATTTTAAATACTTTTATTTCTTAATTTACATAAAGGTATATATTTGGCTTATCTTTTTTTTTTATACTCTGAGATTCACAATCAATTGCTCTTAAAAAATAAAATAGTCATTTGCTTCTGAAAGAAATCAGAAAACTATTTTATACTCCTCCCTTGTATAACAAGAAAATACACTAATACTCCCATACATCACGTAGTAAAAGTGATTGTAAGTGCTGGTTTGCCAGACAATAAAGCCAATGGAGAAGAGAAGAAGCATCTGGGGTGGAGCTTGGGAGAACTCTGCTTCCCAGAGCACAGCCAGACATTTTTGGGGACATTTTTGGGGTTCAGTCACCCTGACTGTAAGGGGAGAGGCTCCTGGGGCCACCCAGACCTGCTCTGGGGTGGTGGCAGCAGGAGCCCCTTGGGGTGGCACTTCTGGGTCATTCTCTTGCTTCTCTGGGCAGGTGCCACTGCCTCAGTGTGCCACCCTGTACAATCCACCCAAGTGCCAGTGCAGGATCAGCTGGGGGGGTTCATGCTTTAAACAAATCCCCTTTATGGAGTGGGGTAGGAGAAAACCCTGGTGATTAACTGAGGGGAGCTGGAGCCTCCCTGGTGCCCCTGGACACTGCACAGGCCCTGCTGAATGCAGCAAGGACCTGAAGAGCCTGAGCCTCCCTGTCTCAGCCTGGAACATGTGGGAGCAGGGATTCAGGGATCCCTTGGTGAAGGCAGGACTCATTCTCACTCCTTTGTTTGCTCCCTTCCCTCTGTCCTTGTTTAAACAGAATCCACAGCATTTCCTTCATGTGCACAAAGGATAAAAGCAGCAGGGACTGGAGCCTGTCACAAACAAGGATTGCCAGTGACATTACAGAACACTTCAGTTCCCTTTTCATTGCTGACTCCTGAGAATTAAGTTTAAGGAGAATTCCTAATCTCTGAACCTTAGCAGAAATGTTCCATTTTGTTGACAATAAATGCTACACAACAGAGAGCCTATCAGAAAAGCAATTTAGAAAATGTGGTTAATCTTCTTTGGTCTCTGAGATGAAATGACTGATTGTTGGGTTGCTTTTTGTTTCCTTTTAAACAGCTTAAAAAGGAATTTCTTAATGGGAATCAGAAATTCATGTGCCTTTAAAGCCAAGTGTTTGGCTCCCAGACTAGAGCTGCTGTGTTTCCCCTCTGAGTGTAAATAGTGGCACGAGGTAGGAAGTGAAGCATTGTTGGGATTTGCTTTGCTTTGTTGTTTCTAGCACCTGCTTGCTCAGGCACTAGAGGAACACTTCTGGCTCTGGTTCTTTAGCCAACTCCTGGAGCTCTTGTTCAGGAATTGCAGGTGACAGAACCCTTGCAGAGGAGTCCTTGAGCTCTGGGAGGAGGGAGGGCTCAGGGGATCACAGGAATCCCCAGCCTGGCAGGGATTTGCCATGGGGTGAGCCCCTGGCTCTGGAACCATCTCTGCTGCAGAGCTGTGCTGCAGCTCCCAGCACATCCTGGCAGGGAAAGGGAGACAAACCCAGGTTTGCTAACAGCACCCTGCTGTGCCTGAGAGGCCTTATGGCACAGCCAGGACGGCAGCTCCAGCCCTAACTCACATCTGGTTCTGCTCTGACACTTCCTGAGCTCATTTATTCCTCCCTGGACCCCAAGTGCCCTTCCTGTGGCAGCCTGGCCCTCTCCAGGACCTGTGCCCCCCTTGCTCCCCACCCAGCTGACACAGCACAGCTTTGGCTCAAGGCTCCATGGGATGGCACCACGACAGCTCCTGCGTTAGAGCCCAACCCAGTTCAGCTCTGGCCTTGTCTGACAGCTCTCAAAGGCACCTCTGCACAGGTACAGGTACAGGTACAGGTACAGCTACAGGTACAGGTGCAGGTACAGGTACAGGTACAGGTACAGGTGCAGGTACAGGTACAGGTACAGGTACAGGTACAGGTACAGGCACACCCCAGTGCCAGCTCAGGCTGGGTGGGCAGGAACCAAGCACTGCTCTGAAGGCAGTGCCAGCCTCCTGCTCTGGGATATTGGCAGGGAGAATTAGCATTGACAGTCTGATATGGTATCATGTAAACAAAGCACGAGGTCACTGGCACAGCAGTATTGCACTCCCAGGCCCAAGGTGCAGCCATTCAGCCAGCTGGATTTTGGTATTTTAAAAGCCTGTGAACCTCCTAGGAAGGCTGAATTTAGCATATGGAAAACTCTAGAGCCTGTAGGGATTTCTGTCCAACGTTCTTCTGGGCCTTTCTGTGACAACCACCAGCACACCCAGTGCAGTGAAACTCTCTCCTCTGTCCCATTGCTCAGTCTCAGTGACAGGTGGGGCAGCCACTGGAAGTTTTCCTGTGGTGCCCTTGCAGGCCCTGGCACCTGGGCACTGAGAGGAGGAGAGCTGTGGACGTTATTCATGTCTGCTATGGTTGCACAGGCAGCTCCAGATTTCAAATGTTTAAATAAAAAATTTATCTAAGTATATATATATATATATATATCTCATCTAATGTCTCCAGCAGATATAAAGCATCTTATATTTAAATAAAAAATAATAATCTGAATCAAGCCTTCAGTGTCAAAGAAAAGGTGATGTACAGAACAGGTCCTCAACTAGTGCAGTCTGTGGGAGTGGGAGTGCTGGCAGAGCAGCAGCATTCCATAGGACACCAGCTGCCCCACAAACAATGTGGACTTCATTGGCTACAACTAAAACCATTTACACAATCTACAGTTGCTCACTTGGGCAGCTTTTTCTGGGTCCAGTGGACAGTTGGTGTCCATGCTCAGGGGACCCCTGAATGTCCTTGTGTTCCAGAAGTTTCCACGTTCCCGGCTGCCCTGCTCATCTCCTGGTGCCTGACCCTGCAGGCTGGAGAGAGGGATGGAGAGATGGAGACCCCCTCTGTGATGTGGAGCTGAAGGATCCACTGACACCCAGCACAGGAGGGTTCCAGGTTGGGATTGGTGTGGTGGGAGCAGGAGTCCACGTGTCCTGGCCTTCACTGGCAGCTGCAAACAGGGAACAGAAGGAGTTACTGGGGAAGCTGCAGGGATGGATTGCTGGGGGCCAGCCAAGAGACTGTGCTGGTTTGAGAAGGAAGTGAGATTTGTTGGAGGCTGTGGTCAAACCAATGGGTGCTCACATTTGAATATTGGCACCTGGTGTGGTCACTGAGGACATGGAGACACCTCTGAGAACACAGGGGGTGAAAAGCAGAGAACTCCCAGGGGAACTCTCTCTTGGTTCTGGTCCATGAAAGAGGCCAGACTATTTCAATTCTAAGTTAATAAAGTTCTTTCCTTTATTCCTAAGCTGGAGCCTGCCTTGCTCCATTTCTGGTCACACCTCACAGCAGACATTAAGGAGAATATATTTTCATGGGTGCACTGGCATTGCACTGTGTCACACCATGACAGAGACCCCCGGTGTCTGTGCAAGCAGGGGTTGGCACAGCCTGCTGGGGATGTGCTGAAGCCATCTGGAATGGAACAGAGGCACTGTGACCCTGGCCCAGCCCTGCAGGAGGTGACCACAGCAGTGTGCCCTGTGCAGGCACAACTGCTCCTGCTGTGGGCTGAGGCAGCCCAGGACAGGCTCCATTCTTGCAGACTGCTTTTGACCCCCTCAGTTTACTGAAGAGGGGCTGCCTTGTGCCTTAAATTGTCATTTTAGAAACAGCTGTCCCCTGGAGGGCCCAGCTCAGGTGCTGCTGGCACGGCAGGGCAGGCACTGCCTGTGCCCATGTGGCCTCAGGGCCACGTCAGCACCTCTGCCCACTGCTGAGGTACCTCTGTGTGGCCTCTCCAGCAGCCACTGCTGTCCCACATAATGGGGCAAGGATAACCAGTCCTCTCACTGCAGGATTTCCTGTGAGAGGGCCTGGGCTCCATGTTATGCAGGAAATTGCCCCGACCTTAAAAATTAGTGGCTGCTGGATTACAAAAAATTCCCCTATGATGGTGGCCTGGTTTCTTTCAAGCTGTATAAAATTGGACCAAAAAAGAGGGAAGTGTAGTGAAAAACCTTGGTGTGCCCAGGACACAGGCAGTGTGGTTTGTAAGCCACTGGTCTATAAGGCAAGTTTCAGTAACAGCACCAAGGATTTCCTCCCAGATTTGTTGATGGCATTTTTTAAAAAAACCCTCCAACTTTATCCAAAAGCAACTGTTAGTGAATCCAGAGCCTGCAAACTCCAGGCAGCCCCATGCCCAAATCCACTCCCCTCTGTGGAAATACCACATCTGCTGTGCTAGAGATTGCATGAAATCTTTTCCCTCAAAAGGCCATTCTGAAGTGTCTTATTGAGTTCTGATTTTCTGATTAGTCTTTCAATGCATTTAATTTATGGGAAAGAAATCTCCTCTTCAAAAACTTGCTTTAATGAATTTTGGCTGCAGTGAAATGCTGGGAAGTGTTTATCACTTGTGGCAGCTCCAGGCAGCAGCGCCGTGGCTGTGGGGGAGCGATAAGGGCAGCAGGAACACAAGGGACAGGGTGGGAGCAGGGAGGGGACAGGCCCTGGTCCCTCTGGCTCAGAGGTGTCACCCTGGGTTGCAGAGGGGACAGGGTCAGGTGCTGCCTGAAACACTTTCTGCACAAAACCTGGACCGTGCCAGAAATGGTGTTTGGTAGCAGCCCATGTTTGATGCCCAGCAGGGCAGCAGGAGGTTTTGTGAACACCAAAAGGTTTTCAGTTCTGGCCTGGGACAGTCACACTGGTCAAGGGACATGGGTAATGTGGGCTTTTCTGCTCAAAGAAGGGAACACCAGGTTCTGGAAGCAACTCGATACCACAAAGGACACTCGAGCTGACCCCCGGCTTCCCTGGTCTTGATTTGCTCTGCTTTGGGCTGGGGGTGGCAAAGGTGCAAACCAGAGCTGGCTAAAGAAACTTCTCTGCAATTGATAAGGAAAGAGATGGGCTGGCAGGGGTTTGTAGCTTGGTTTGGGTCACTCACCGTCTCAGACTTTCACAGAGGCTGGTGGCATCACAAGCTGATTCACCCTGGTGGAGAGAAAACAGAAGTGTTGTGTGAGAGCTGCATTTAGCAAAGAAATGGATTCCTAATAACATACCAGCCTGGTAGATCCAGGTTTTGGTTGCTTAACAGTGTCTAAAGAAGAGGGACATTAAAAACTGTCCTGTACAATGGTATGAAGCTGAAACCTTGTCACACAGGGGTGTCTGGCAGCAGTGCTGACAATGGCTGGAACGTGCCAAATAACACTGCTGGCACCGACTGACAAGGATTTGGGAAGGTCCCAGAGGCATCCAGGTAGCTACGATTTCCCTAAGCCAACACAAGATTGCACAGTGGCTGTTGGTGTCCTTCAGCCTGACAGCACAGATGTAAACAGTCATCACTGATAAAAATTAAGGAAAACTGAGTTGTCTTTCAGTTTGCAGCTCCTGAAGTCCCGCTGCTGTTCCAGGCACTGCTCTGGGTGATGGGCAGCGTGTGGCAGGGACAGCTGTGGCACCAGGCAGGAGCTGTCCTGCAGGACGGTGAGGGGATTGCTCCTGTCTGCTCTGAGGGACACAGGGACAGCAGCAATGCTCCTGCCAAGGCCATCCCTGGCCCCTGCTGCTTGTCCTTGCAGAACATGCCCTGGAAAATCCAACCTTCCTCAGCAGCAGCTCCTCTGCCATCCCCTCCCATGCTGTTCTTGTTACTGCCTTTGACAGTGACACACAGCAGGGACCGTGTGAACTGTCAGAGGTGACATCCTCACACTCCAAAGCCTTTGGACCTCAGTGGGAACACCTGGATTCTCACAACACTGAGAAACCCCCAGCACACCCACAGAGCTGCCCTGACGTGGCTGTGGGAGTGCTTTACCCGAGGGCTCTCTGCCTCTACTTGGGCAGCAGCAGCATAAACAAACCTGAGTTACAAAGGGAGAGTCTCCACCTACCAGTGCAGGTTGGCTGTGCTGGTGTTGGGGTTTAGGACTTTTCTTTCTGTTTATTTCTCTAAAAGAATTTTCTGCTATATGTGTTGCTAGGAGACAATAACAACCAGGTATTTCAGAGAGGCAAAAGAAGTGGCCACAGCTCAGGGGAGGGCTCCAGCTGGCTGCTCTCTCCTGCTCCCTCTTTTTACCTGGGTGTTCTCTGGGAAAGGCAGAGATAATGGGAGAACTGGGCTGGGGAAAAAACCCAAGGGGCTGGGGCAGCTGCTGCCTCTCTTGCTCTTCAGAGGAGGAGGAGGAGGAAGAGCTGACCCGAGTTTCTTCCTACAAGTCCCATTCTTGGTAACTAACCCCAGTGCACTGGAAATCACATTGTATTGAGCATTGGAATTGTGCAGAATACATCAGAGAAAACAATCTGGGCATGCTACAGCCAAATTCTAAAGTATGAAGCAAGCTATGGAATGTCACAAAACTATCAGAAACTCCAGAGGTTTGAGTGAGCCATAATGTTTGAAAGTCCTGTCCCTTGGCACATCATTCCACGTTCTTAGAGGACACAGAATCTATACAAATAAAGTCAGTTTTGCCATGACTTTGTCATGGACCTGCATTGCTGACACAACTGCAAATAGACACAACTTTCCTGCTTGAATAACAGCTCAGCCTCCTATGGGATAAAATGTACCACCCTTTTATTTTAACACATTTCTCTCAAGTTCTGCTTTATCTCTGTTTCACAGATGGGAACAGAGGCCTGGAGGGGCTAATCCTGGAATGTTTTTTGAAGATTTGATGGGAAATTAGACTGCACGTGACTTGTGAACCTGCTGGGGAGAGAAATGACTTTCAAGGATCACACAGGAAGCTGCTGGACAGGAGAGAGAACTGAAACAGTTCCAAATTTGGGACAGTGCCTCCTCAGTCCCTCTGAAGCCCCATGATGCAGACAGTGGTCACTGCCACAACCCATGGCAGTGGGGCTCAGTGCATGAGTCAGGTGGGATTTTGTTTACTTTTCTTAAAGCAAATCTACAAATAATAAATTTTAAACTCTCTTAGGTGGCAAAATGTAGTACATGGGCTTAAAATAACAAGGCTCAAGAGCATCTAAATCCCTCATTAAGTACCACTTGCCTTTCTAATAACAATAATCCCACACTGAATGGATCACTGAGCATTGGCTCCCAAATTGTTCTGTTTGCTCTGCAGTGTTTTTTTAAGATTATGAATGCTTTCATTCCTTGAAGAGAGTAGGGTGGGAACCAGTCTGTTATTTCAGGAGGAGGAAACTCACCCAAACTGCCTTTCAAGAACAGAAGCTGCACAACATTTTTGGGTTTTTTTTTTAGGGACTCCTCTAGCAGTTAAAAATGTGGCTGATTCTCTCTAACTCCATCACTTCCTCTCCTGTCAAACCTAAATATTTCTCCTAGATCCTATCAAGTCATTTCCATGTACTGTGACAGCACCTATAATTCTGAAGTATTTATAAGACTGTCTGTTTAATATTAAACTACATGCTCTAGAGCTGTTAAATATTTATGCCATGTAAAATGGATCTAATTTCACTGCACCTCGGCCGCTTAGAGACCTGCAAGAGGACAAGACAGCCAATTTAAGATAACAGATGACTGGCCAGGATCTTTTACAGGTCAGCCATGCTCTATTTCAGCAACTGGGCAGGATTATTCTCCAGGTGCCTTCCAGCCGTGCTGGTCCCCAGGCCAGCAGCTGATGCAGATTGCAGGCTGTAGTGCAGCCAGCCCTGCTGGGCACTCCCAGGGGTTTGAAGGGATTCCTGCTGCCTCCAACCAGAGCAGGAGCCTTGTGCTCCTCCTGGGCACAAGGGCAGAGCCCGCTGGCCCTGCTCACTCTGAGGGCACTGTGGGATGTGTGTGTGGCTCCTGCTGAGCTCCAGGGATGTGTCACCTCTGTCCCTGAGCTCCAGCCAGGAGGACACACCTCAGTGTGCCGTGCCCAAGGCTCCAAGAGAGGCTTTGGGGAATGCTGCCAGCCTGGGTCGTGTCAACTTTCATGCCTAAGTGAAACACCACCTGTGTTTCAGGATCCTGCAGCTTTCCCAAAGCTCAGTTTTCTTGCAATCTACACAAGCCAGATTCTGGCTTTTGTATCTGAGAAGCACATTAGGAAATGTTGTCCTGGTTTTTACAGCCTGCTGTACTTAACATCACTTAATTTTTACAACCAACAATAAAATGCTCCGGTAGGGTCCTTCTAGCCTGAAAATAAATCAGTTTTTGAGTTATTGAGCAGGAGTTTTTTAGTGTTGAGTTGTTGAGCTGGACCTCATTCAGCAGACAGAAGTACAGGGGCTACAGGGGCAGCTGGACCACTGGACTTGGCAGCAATTCCTGCCAGTGATTAAGGATCCTTGTCCTTAATTTCTGTGGAAAGAATTGTGTGTTTCTATTGCAATGTGCCATCAATGCCTGTTTGAAGCAGTGCTTTAGGAAGGGACACAGGGGACCAGTCACTAATGGCAGCCCCCAGCAGATTCTCCTGTCTGAACTTCCTCATATGTTAAAAACAGGAGGTTAAAAACATCTCCAAAAGGCCTTGTAAACACATTAAAACATGAAATTTTAGGTGATGAAACGTTCATGGCCAGACATCCTTGAAAGGCAAGGAGACTTTATGGCCTTCATCTATGAAAACCAAATCTATTTTCAAATGCAGCCAGTTAAAGGGTGGTTTTTGCATCAGAGCAGCATCACCCTCCAGCTGTGCCTCAGGGATGATGAGCAGCCCAGCCAGATGCAGCAGGCTGAAATTCCAGCCACTGAAACAGCAGCATTCAGAGCTGCTGCTGCCTGAGACTGGAAAGGAAAACAGAGGCCAAGGATGGTCACTGGTAGCTCCACACCTGCTGTAAGAGTGAATTTTATGAACTCATCCATGAACACAGAAGGGACTTACTCTGCTGCTGCTGCTATCACCAATTCCTGCAGATAACTGCTGAAAGAGTTATGGAATAGGAGAGCTGGAGCAGCCCCTGGAACAACCAAAGCCACAGCTGTTCTCTCCCTGTTTTGCTCACTGCAGAAGGCAAAACAAACCAGAGATCTCTCGGCTGACTCTGCCACACCCTGAGTGCAAACACTGGTGCCAGTCCTGCCCCACCTTTCCACCAGACACTGCAGGAGGAGCAAACCCAGCAGGGTGGACACTCCAGTTCCAGTGTGTACCCCCTGTGCCCCTCATTAGAGTTTTGGTAACAGTGCAGCAGGTACTGGGTTAGCCAGTGCTGCCTGCAGTAGCTGAGCACAGTTCCCATTTTCACCTGCAGCTGGAAGGAGATGGATTTGGCTTCCTGCTCCACAGCAGCTCTCCTGGGATGCTGAACAAGCTGCCACAGCCCCCAATCCTCCCTAGAAAAGCTGCAGAACACGAACCCTCACTCTGAGCTGGTACCTTCAGCAAGAACAGCAGCATCAAGGATTGCCCCCAGAGAGCAGCTCCTGCTCTGACTGACCTCAGGCTGTTCTGAGGGTGAAGTCAGGAGTTCTGGGACAAGATGTGATTGGGAACATGAATTCCTGCAGAACTTCAGGCTGCAAGCAGGCTGGAGCTGGGAACAGGGACTGAAAGGGAAGGAGAGCAACAGTGATCCATCAGCCTGGAGCTCCCAGTGTGTGGCGCAAGGACAGGATGGCACTGTTAAAAATAGTCCAAGCTCTGAGCTTCCTGATGCATCTGACAGGTTATCCAGCCTGCAGGAACGGGCTGTTGATGGAGCTGAGGTCAGTTTGCTGCAGGAAAAGGATGCTGAGAGAACTCTAACAAAATTCAGGCAACAATCTGGCCCTGGAGGGGTTTGCTTTGGAGCAGGAGCAGTGCTCAGTGTGGCTGCTCTGTTTGTGCCCTCAGTCCCAGCCAGGGGCTCTGTGCTCTCCATCCCAGGCTCACGCAGGAGCTGGCTGTGCCCTGCCCTTCCCTCTGCTCTGCTCTGGCACTGGCACTCACAGCTCTCTCTCTGCTGGGGACAGAGCTCCTCCAGCTGCACTGAAGAAATGAACTGGCTCAAATCCCCTTTTCTTCCTGCATGTCAGTGGGTTTAGTAAACAAAAT